GATAAATCAGCTATAAAATGATAAATAAAATGATAGATCAGCTATAAAATAATTAATAAAATGATAGATCAGCTATGAAATAACTAATAAAATGATAAATCAGCTATGAAATAACTAATAAAATGATAAATCAGCTATGAAATAACTAATAAAATGATAAATCAGCTATGAAATAACTAATAAAATGATAAATTGCACAGCAACTACTCAAATTAAGATAATTTTATTAGTTATTTCATAGCTGATTTATCATTTTATTAGTTATTTCATAGCTTATTTATCATTTTATTAGTTATTTCATAGCTGCTTTATCATTTTATTAGTTATTTCATAGCTGCTTTATCATTTTATTAGTTATTTCATAGCTGCTTTATCATTTTATTAGTTATTTCATAGCTGAGTCAGAAATTTTTTTTTAATGCGACAACAATTAGGCTACTTACATTTTCTATTGGCTCAGGATCAACGCCTAGGAGCTCCTGGATATAGCAGAAAAGTACAATATCTCAAATTTGTATATTTTGTAGTATAAACAAAAAGTGAATCAAAGTTATCTTATCCAAAGTTCATTAATATAACTTTACTTTATCAGTCAGTTTGAATTATCCTAAGATATCAAAAATGAGAAAATTTACTAGTTTCTATGGACATTATTACATCTACATAAAAAAAAGGAATCAAGGTCATTCAAAGTATATTAATCTCACTTTTTCTGCCAATGAGTTAGATTTATCAAAATATTCCCATGTGAAAGCTGAGTAGTTTCTATGCACATTACTACTTCAACATAAAAAATAGAAGTCTTAAATAAAGAAAACCTGAATAACACACAACACTATTTCATTCCAGAATCAACAACATGTAAACCCATCAGTTGGAATTTGAATTACGAAGTCTTTTCATTATTCTTACATAAAGTAAGAAAAGAACTTTTGAAATTCCTACTTCTAATATTAAAATATGTATCTTTTCAGATTAAAATTCACAGCAAACGGCAGAATAAAACATATATTAAATTTATTAAAACTATATTCTGCTTTTTCAAAAAGACTAAACATGTTTTGAAAACTGTTTTAATAAATCTTTTATTGATATGACATTTTAAAAATAAATCTTATCACTGTCTATAAAAATTATCTATTTTGATGTCCAGGTTTTTTCAAGTTTCATTCTAAGTACATAGTTTACTATTTTGATTGAATATAATTTATTAAAGTATTGAAACTTGGATGTCAGAGTAAATTCACACTTTAAGAATATTAGCCAATATGAAGAACAAAACCTACTCAATATGATCAAATTATCTGAATGATTTTAATGGAATATAATATTTGGCATGAAGCTCTGAAAAAATCAAGACAAAACTCAAAGGTTTTTCCTAAACTGTTTTTTTCTAAGTTCTGCTTAAGGGAATTTTTAGAAAAACAATTTATGAAATCTATTCCCACCTTTCCGAGATAATGTGCATAAAAAAAACTTCTGTGTTAAGTATTGTTTCGTAAGTACTAAATTGTTGATGGTACTGTAAATCATGTGGTTAGAAAGAAAAAAATATGGGTTTCTACAGAGAATTAATACTAAATGAAAACTAAGTTTATTTAAGTAACATTACAGTTTTGATTAGCTTTTAATAAATTTATTTAACTAATAATGTTATATTTCTCAACTACCTACATCCTAAAATCTACCTCCTCAGTAAATTTTCATTTTGCTTTTGGTGTTCTTTGAACATGCACATATATAAACAAACTAGTATCAAATCAATACTAAAAGATACCTTGTATTTTCATTAAGTTTCATTCATTTATCTCAATAAACTATTTATTTTTGGCTTTTCAAGAAACACCGACTAAGGAAATAATAGTGAAAAATACACAATTTATATATTTCAATGAACATTACATTTTCCACTTTATACAAGAATAGCTACACATTGTACGGGTAGAGTATTAGCTTGAAATTTAATTATTTTAGCATTACATATGTGAAAACAACTTTCATAGTTTTTGTATTCCCAAGAAAAATCAAGTCTTAAAACTTACCATAATGTTTGCAAAAATATGCATTTTATCTTCACACAAATGGGCTATAGTTAGATCTTTTTCATATAACTGACCTAAAAAAAATCCACAAGTAAAACAAATACTTTACTAACAAGCAGAAAAATTATACAAGCCTTCTGAATGACAATAAGTTTATAGATGTGTGTGTGTGTATGTATATATCATTATGATAATTATTTTAGAATAATAAAAAGGATTTTTTAATTTATACAAAAAAAACTATTCACACTAAAAGATAACGTGCATTTTAAAATTTTCTTTAATCTTATAAAATGATACGATTCATCAATCTGTAATTTTAAAATTTAAATTAGTGTCATACAATTCACATTTTATTTTATTTTAGATGACAATTTGTTCTTTTAAATGTTTCCATGCTTCACTGATATGAAGTAACTCGGAAATTATTTATTTTTATCTTACACACACAAAGGTAGAAAAACTTCATCCGAGTGTCCAAGATGTTTGTTTTTGGATATTTGCCTAAACCTACCCAAGGGTTATCTGTCCTATCAATCTCTAATTTTGAGCTGCTAGAGGGAAAGCAGCTAGTTCACCTCTAACTTTTAGGCTATTTTTATCTGACTCACTAGTGGGATTTGACCATCACCTTTATATCACACCTACAGCTCCAAAGTAAGGACAGTAATTTTTTTGTGGTACCTTGTTTGTTTGTTTTTGAATTTAATGCAAAGCTATCTGTGCTAGCCTTCCTCAATTTAGCAGTGTTAGGCTAGAGGGAAGGCAGCTAGTTAACAATACCCACTGCCAACTGTTGGAATACTCTCTTATCAATGAACAGTGGGACTGATCATCACATTATAATGCCCCCACAGTTCAAAAGTGAGCATGTTTGGTGATGAGGATTTGAATCCACGACCTGCAGATTGCAGTTTGATTGCCTGAACAACTTTCTGTGGTAAAAAGGATCAGATCCTACACACCCATAGTCTGGCATTCTAGCCATGTTATTCAATGTGTATATAAGGAAATAAATACAAATTTTATCAGGATATCAATCACATGGAAGTTTGAACCTAAAACATTAAATTACTTTATAATGAGCACAACTGGATAGTACTATTTACAATTATTTTAAAACCTGTGTTTTAATTTGTTTTGAATATTGAGCACTGAGCTTTTCTTGTTTGTGGTAACAGAAAAGATCAGTACTAAAAATTATTAAATAGAAAAAACAAAAAATCTTCAGTAGGCACAAAGGTTGATTAAAAAAAGTGTGGTTTTAGGTAATATTTAATCCTTACAAATTCTTATTTTATGTGTATGATTTTTCTATTTCTAGTTTTTAGGCATACAGACATGATGAAATATATACCTTTGTAAAAGCATTAGAAACCATACGTGAAGAAAGAACATGAGTAACAAACATGCTTGGAGCTCACTTTCATGCAAAGGACTATCTGCACTAGCCATACCTATGTTTGTGTGATGAATTAGAGGAAAGGGAGCAAGTCAACAGCACACATGTCAACTCTTGTCTGACCAAATAGTGTGTTTTAACATAACTTTTATAATGCATCGACAACTTCAAAGTGTAAAGCACCATTTCGTATTATGTTCTTTCTAGTTGAACACAAATGCTGAACCCACAAATCACAATAGTCTGGCATGCTAACCACCGAAACACACTCAGCCCCCTTACTTCAACTTTAAAAGATGGATAATTAAGCTAATGTTTAATATAATTCATAATACACTTCTAATTTATTAATCAGGATGAGACCGGTGGCATAAACAACGTACAAATTTAAGATTATAAAATACCAAGCTAGAAGTTCTGAGAAAATAAAGTTATTATCAACAACGTAATTGTTAAATGTATTTTTTTGCTCAATACAAGTAAACATCTTTATATAACTAACCTATCAATTCTTTTATTTTTGCCGACTTTGCTTCTTCTGATTTTCTCTCTTCTTCATTCTCATTTGGAATTCCTTCATCTGAAAAATTCAAAGATATGTATACAACTATATTTAAAACTTAATATGTAACATAACATCTCTTACTTTAAGTGCCAATAAAAATGTTACAAGCCATATCTAAAACTTTGAATATCCATGTAAAGTTCAGCACTTAAACCTCTTCCAGATTTACCAACTAGAGATAATATTTATAGATAAAAGAATTTACTTTTGTAGATTGATCTTTTTGGATTACAATAAATGTTTTATTGGTGGTCCAATCAAAGTATGATTTGTTGAGACTTCCACTGACTGTACTGGTAGGTGAGTAGACAGCGTAGAACACAAATATAGATATGATTTTGTATTACGACTACAAAATTAAGTATAAACTCAGAGTCTTAACTTTCTTTTATACTGTAAAATCAAAATGGATGAAACTTTAGAAGACTTTATATTCCAGCAGTCATTTAATTTAACCAAAGAAAAGTCACTCACATTTGAGGAAGGACTATGCAAGTCCAATTAAAGCATCTCAAAACTGTGTATGCATAGCATATTTTACTTGAAAAAAAATTAAAGGATGAAAGTAAATCAAAGTTGTTTGTTTGTTTGTTTGCTGGTTTTTAATCACAAAGTTACACAATGGGCTGTTTGTGCTGTGCCCATCATGAGTTTCAAAACCTGGTTTTTAGCATTTCAAGCATGCAGAATTACCACTTAGCAATAGGTGGTAAATCAAAGTCTGCTCTTTTAGCATCAATTAGGTTCTTTACAGATGTCACTGGTAACTTATTGTAACACAATGAAACTTCAACTTTGAAAGCAACTTAAACCAGGTTCCAGCTTTCTTTAGAACCTCAGATGCGAGTGTAAAATTATTATTATTATCATCAATGAAAGAAATAGTAATGAAACGTTTTTAATTCTTCTGCAAAATTATAAGACCATATTAGGTATTGTCATATTGTCTCAAAACATAATTATATTTTACTGAATTCAAAGTATTATTAACTTGGAAATTTAGTATAGGTTACATTTCACTTTGACATGAATGAAATAAAAGAATAAAGAAACAACTTACTACATACAGAACAAAAACATATATATATATTACATATAAACAAAGCAAGAACAGAGTAAAAAAATCACAGAACTGAATACAGAAAGCAATAATCACCCAAGGTTGGACAATGTTCTATTGCACTTTTAATGACTTCAACCCATGTCTTCTGTTCCTTAGCCGTGTAGCATATCATCTCATACATTTCAGGTTCATTGGGATTGGAACTAATTAAATAGATACCTCTACTGTCTTGGCCAGCCTTCTCTCTTACTAGCAACTTCTGCAGTGACACAACACATGACTAAAAAGTAAAACAAAAAGAGTGAGAAAGTTATTTTCATAAATAATTTATATATACGTACAACTTAGTATAAGCTGTATGTACAATAAAAATTCATCAAGCATAAAATATAGGTAAAAAATACATTAAAGGGACGTAGTTTTATTTCTCCAAGAAAATAATCAGAAATACTATTTTGCTTCAGTGGACAATAAAGTAAGCATTTGTGTTTTTCTTTAAAAAAAAATTATAGGCTGTATTGTCACAACTTGAAGTTTTAAAACATTTGTTACTTATTTTTTAACCTAATGTTTCATAAAGTTTACTGCATTGTCAGAGAAAATTTCTTTATGACTGTTATTTAGTTTGATCCTTTTATTGAAGAAATTATATTATACATGAAGTAGAATCTCTAAACAAATTAAACCCAAAGGTGTTGCAATACTGTATTTTTTTTGCATTTGCTTGAATTTAGTGTTCTAAGATTTTATGTTGATAAAAAAAAAAAAAAAAAAATAGCAAAACTGAAAATTTGTATATACAGGGTTAAAATACTTCCACACCCTGCAAAGTAGTTACATGGACATACAACAGACAGTTCTATTAGATATATAAAACAAAACTAATTATCTCTGTATATTTTGTCTGCCACACTTGCAATAATAGTTTAATAACTTAATTGGTTTTCAGAGGTCCTAGCAGTGGTGTTGTCTTTTACTATACAAGCGTTTTATGTAAATTCATGATTAATGAAAGGTTATCTTTTTGTAAAAAATCCCATAAAAGACCGCAAAATGCAAAATTATTCAGTTTTGTATGTATCTCGGCATGGGCCGAACAAACCTTCATGCCAAATTTGGTGGTGAAGATCTATCAAAAGGGAGAGAAGTAATGATGCAAATTGCAAAACTGAAAATTTGTATGTATCTCCCCATGGACCCAATGAACCTCCTTATCACATTTAGTGAAGATCCGTCCACAGGAGGTGAGGTTGTGAAATAAAAAAACATTTTCTAAAAATTTCAGAAATCATTTACAGTCTCTCTATTCAAAGGATTAATAGTGTTCTAAGTCTTGTATGTTTTAGCCATACACAGTTTTATTGATATTTTTAATTAATGTTGTCATGAACTCTGTGTTTCAGTGCAAAGATACACAATAGGCTATCTACACTGTTCCCTCTATTGGTAGCAAAACTTGATTTTTTAGTGCGATAAGCACTCAGTTTTTACTATTGAGACACCCATTTTTTGTTTACTTTTATATGATAAAAATGAACATGATTCATGGCTGTACGTATCACATTCATTTATTTTAGAATGTTTGTTTTTTAGCCTTATCACTTATCCCTGCAATTGTGTGATTACTGCATCACCTTAAAGTCACAATAAATCATTTAGATTTTATGAAGTTTTTTAAACGAAATCTGTCAAAAATATTTCACTTAACGTTACAAGATCTACAAAAAAAAACTTTTCCAGTGACATTCTATATCATTCTTCATACTTGTGTCCAAGAAATTTAATGTTAATTCTTCTAAAGAACTAGAATTTGTTAAAGAAATAAAATAATTACTGTCATGAAGTACTTACAAATAAGTACAATACAGAGCACTAATGGTTATTAAAACATCATCCATTACATACACAATATTTTTTTCTTTAAATTTCTCAACCTTTTGTTTCTGTTACTTGGCAGAATGTGCTGGTTAATTTTTAATCTGACAAAGAACAAGATTTCTTTAAGTTTTATCAATGAAGTTTTAATTAGCTGCTCATACAAGATTACTTTAGTGAAAATATAGATTCTTACTATCATAATTTGATAAAGGGCTTACCCACAGTTTTCCCTCGAGCAGTTCTTAGAGAAATGGTACCTTCATAACATAACTTACGTCCTCCTGACAACAAGTCAGATTTCTAAAAGAAATATACAACAAAATCAGTAAAATGCCACAAATTTCAAAATGTTATTGTTCATGTGGCAGATGTAAATAATATTTAATCATGTACTTTCCAATTTATGTATAATTAGACATATTATAATATTATTTATTGCTTACATTATATTACAGTGATTAGGTTGTTTCAACACAGTATTAGAAAGAGAACATATAGATAACCTTTTTACATAATTTTCAAGTATACGTACTCTATAAAACAGATGGTGTTTGATGAACATTCATGAATGGTTATATAATGCACAAATTTCCTAATCGTAGAAATTAAACACACATATTAACTCATCTGGGTCCAATTTGAGTTGCAATTTGATTGTTCAGGACATCACAAAACCTTCTACCAGCTGCTGTAATTATGATGCATCTACTTACTTTATCCTTTTTTAATTGCAATTCTTAGAAAGTTTTAATTCATACCTTGAATTTTTTACCCCGAAAATAAGCAGTTGATTTTGCATCCACTTTGTTGTACATTTCCAATAACCGCTGCTGTCTCTCATTTTCTGCCACTTGAGTATTAACTTGGCTGATAATATCCTGTTATTAGTTCAGAGAAACCAGATTAGAAACTAAAGCTACAAATGTAAAATCATTACTTTCCCCCCTTTGGTTATAGCCAATTGCAAGTCAATCACAAGTTGTAGTTGTTAAAAATTACATGTGTTCTAACATTTTTCTCTTCATATACAATCGAAAAAAAGAAATTATATTCAAAACTTAAACATTTCTTTTAGTAACTTCACTTTAATATATTAATTCATTTCTTGTTCATCAAGTTTTACTGAACTATTCTTGTCATCATTTTCATTACAAATCATACAAAAAAAAGGCCATCTTTACCACCAATTAAAGTTTAAGCCTGAGTCAAACACCATTGAGTTAATAATTGTCTAACAGATTTAATCTTATTCAAAGTTTTTCAATAAATGTAACTGACAAAGGGTATAAGATTTTTATGAGTTTAGCGCCTATTCAGCCACTAAACATGAGAACAGAAGTTTGATTTAGTAAAACATTTTCTTAAAAATTACAAAAATTCTTCTCTATGTCATGTTTTATTACACAATAAGGTAGGTCTTTAAAACCCAACAAACAACAACAGGCACTTACAACAGTTTGAGGTGATTGGATATTAACTGTTATGATTAGTAGCTTATATAATCACCTAAAGGTAATTATAAATAAGTAATAAACTTTTATCATATGTTTCTGATACTGATCTGGTTCTGTTGTCAGGGCAGTCTTGAAAAGGACTTATCTAGTGAAACTGTCTGGGATTCGATCTTGAGTCGATTCTTTTTGACAGAGAGAGGTTGGTGTAATGTTTACTCAACTAGGATCTCTCTCCTTCCCTAGCTTCCCTATCAAAATGACCCTGGACTGAATCCCAGTCTCTAGTACCACAGAAACAGCCCTTCTCAGGATTTCACTGAAGGCAACAGCAGATCATTAGCTGTGTTTATTGAATCTTTTATCCCATAAATGTGCATGTAGTTTCATCTGAAGAGAACTGAATTAAAGAGTGATATTTTCTAATTAGTATCAAGCAACATTCTGATAATAAAATATCAGTCTTTCATTTCCATAACCTTATAAAAATATATATTAATATACCAATAAGAATGACCATATGAAAATTTTAAGATACTACTTGCCTAAATTTGTTTTTGCTTAACTAGGATTAGTCTTGTTACTATTATATGTAATCTGTACAACTGCTGTGCAATTAGGTTAACAGGTTGGTGAAAAATGAAAGATTGTAACATGTTAACTGAATATTTCCAAGATTACTGGTTTACTTCTGCCTCCCTAGATTGTAATGGAAATAATCACATTCCAATGAATCTACCCTAACAATTTTACACTAAAAAATTAAGGCACTCTTGGAAATAAATGTAAAATATTAATATTTTCCTTTTTTTTTAATTTGAATTCAAAAAGTTATTAATATACTTTCTGTTAAACAATGGGAAGTAACTATGACTCTTAAGGTAGCCAAATTCCTCGTCATCTAATTAGCAATGCATATAAATGGATTATCGAGATTCCCACTGTAGCTATCTACTATCTAGTAAAACTACAGCCAAGGGAACAGGCTTGGAAAAATCAGCTAACTAAAAACATGAGAATAACCTGAAAAAGTTTTATAATCTTCTTAACCAACCTTCAAGTTCATGGTTTAAGACAAATTTCTTAAAAGTTCTGTAAAGAACAAATTAAATGTTTGTTTGTTTTGAATTTCCTACGAAGCTACACGAGGGTTATCTGCGCTAGCCGTCCCTAATTTAGCAGTGTAAGTCTAGAGGAAAGGCAGCTAGTCATCACCACCCACCGCCAACTCTTGGGCTACTCTTTTACCAATGAATAGAGGGATTGACCGTCAGATTATAACGCCCCCTCGGCTGAAAGGGCGATCATGTTTGGTGTGACGGCGATTCGACGGGGGTGCAAGTCGAGCACCCTAACCACCTGGCCATGCTGGGCCTAACAAATTAATTAATTTCCATATTTATTTTTTAATACAATTAATTAAAGAAATTTACATACCTTGACATTACTTAATGATTCTGAAAGAACACGCTGTTCTGTCTTATCATCTGAAATAAAAAAGTATATCATATATATCAGTGATTATGAATGAAGATAACATACAAAATAAGAAATAACTTTTTAATCTAAGAACTACTTACCTTTGGTGGCCTTGATGAGGGAATCAATTAGCAAGGGATACTTAGTTACTCGCTGAGTTACCAAAAGAATACATTCTGGAATTCTTCTGCTTTTGCACACAGGGATCAAACTACATCGCTGTAAAATACAAATCAAGTAATTGTCATTTTTATTTATTAAAAACAAAATTATTATTTAGATATTTTCTGGTGATTACAGTTTTCTTTTGGTTGACCAAGAGTTAATAGTTCCAACATGTTTTTATTACTAATTATTATCTTACAAAATTACTACAACTAAACTCATCTTTGAATTTCTAATCTCAACTTGGTTATTATTAAACACTTCGTGAATGTTACAGAAGAATCTTGATAACATAATTGTTGTTCTTATCTAAACACAGCCAGGAATAAGCAAAAATAAGCATACAAACGTTTAATACAATTTTCACTTTGCTTTAAAAATCCTCTTTAATAAATATAACAATTAAAAATACCATAGGAGTTAAAACATTTTTAGCTGTTAAGTTTATTATTTTTGAAATAATTTTAATATTCGAAAGTTTTTTGAATTTTTTTGCAATAAGTACTTCATTAGAAAAATATTTTATAAATTTCAAACTTCACTTTATAAGGAACCACATGTAAGACCTAACCTTGATAAAGTTCTGGAACTTTCTATCAGCTTTAAGAATATCTTTGTACAATGACAGAGCTTCTTTATGTCTGCTACAAAACTGACCATAGGCTGTTCTCAACTGAATTGCTGTTTCTCCCTGAAACTGATAAAACCAATCATCAAATTTCAGTACAACTATAATAAATCATAACCACAATTTAGGTTTAAAAATGACTGATAGTTTCAAAATGCACTAACTTACAGAAAGAACAGCAGATACTCTTTAATTTTTGTTAACCATTAAACATTTCGTAGATATATAAATAAAAATAGAGCAGCCACTACTGGATGACAAGTTTTAGGTTGACAGCATTAAAAAAAAAAAAAAAGATGGATTAATATTTCCCCGCAAATTTTTTTCTAATACAAACCTGTGAAAAAAAAAAACTTAATCTAATTT